CATCCCTCCCTCTCTCTCTGGGCTGCTGCTAGGGCTTGACATGACAGACGAACTCAGGACAGGAAAAGTCAAGCAGTGACGTGGGGACGTGGAAGGATACTACAGGGGTCTTGGCGCCGTGGACGTAGACAGGCCTCCTTGAAGACGTGTATATCAGGACTGGGTTAATCTGTGGAAATGAGGGAAGTGAGATTATGTATTGTAGGGCTGCAGAATTAATTGAAAAATGAATAGTTTTCGATTATATGGCTGCTGTGATTAACTAATGAATCAGTTCATGATTATGATGAGAGGGCTCTAGTACTGTCTAGTTTTGTAATGGTTGTCACAGAGACAAGTTGTTATTTCTCAGGGAACCTACAGTATTTCGGTCTCAAGCTCTCGTCATTCAAATTCTGTCAATTTTATCATGAAAATGAAACTATAAATACCATTTTGACCAATAAATACCTTTTTAATGTGGTGTGACAGTATCTGCCTCAGCTCAAGCAGCAGTCTGGAGCAAATGTAAACCAATCATCTCTTAGCACGAAATAAACAACCACAGAAAGTAGGGATGCACTGAATTTTCGGCAGCCGAAAATAGAAAATCGGCCGAAAATGCGAGTCGAAAATATAGGCTACATATAATAATAATAATAAATATGGCGCACCGCGTCGTGCCCCGCCCCGCAGTGTTCAACGCGCAGGCTTCACTCTCCTTATCACTAGTCGCTGTTGGGCTGAATTTATGTTGGACATTTATGCTCATGCAAATTTGACATTTGTATTAATAATAAATAACTTAATTCGTGAAACTGTATTTTTTTATGTTGGGAATTTTTTTATTTGTAAAACAAGTATTTTTAAGAAAACATGAATAAAACGTTGAACAATTAATGGCAGAAGATATGGTTATTATTTATTGGCAAGTTAACCAAAGGATTAATCAACTAATCAGAAAATAATGGATAGACTTACCAGGGGAAAATACTGCTTAGATTAATCAAATAATGTGAAAAAAATAGTAATTAGTAACAGCCCTAAAATTGCAGCATTT